TTTATAGCTGTGTGCTTAATTCTATCGGACCTACATCATATATGTAATGTAATACAAAATTTTAAGGTACAAGGGGCCAATCATCGATATATAACAACTACTACTGATGTAGTAGTTGTATATCGATGGGGCCAATATTTAATGATTTTTTAATTACACAAGCGCTTTCGAAAAATATGTTTTCATATTCAGGCTGTGTTGAAAACGAATACAAAACTTAAATATTTCTACATTATATAGTTCAAGTACTAAAAGGACATAAAGCTTACAATTGACATTAAACCAACAAAACATAGAAGTGTGTGTGAAGCTCAAACATCATTGCAGATGGCACTAATGCACCAAGCGGAGGCTGTTCGTTGCAGAATCAGAACTCATTTAGTTCCCTTTGTAATGTTAACAAGAACACAAATAAAATGAATTATCCTTACATCGAGTAAAAACTTTTTTATTTGTTATTTATATTGTCTCTGAGTGTGAATGAATCATTAAATGCATTGTTTTAAGATCTGACAATTTTGTGTAAAAAAGGGATGTGAACAAAAAGAGGTTAATAGAAAAGAGAGGGACACGAGGAAAGTGTGATACTTCTAAAGAAAATATTTAAATAAAATATCAACTTTGGAAAAAGTAATCACTAAAGTAAGCAGGTATTTTAAGTTGAAGCAACTGGTTAAAGTTGTAACACGATATGAATAGCATTTAATATTTTGTATTATCTTTCTTTGTATTTTAAAAGGACTATTATATGTTTTTAATCAAATAATGTTCTAAAAATGTCACTTCCAATACATGTTTTAGAACGAGAAAGGCCAAATACTTTAGAAGGCCCTGTAAGGAAACTAGACGACATCTGATTTGTAAATGTAACCCAGCATTTTTTTAAAGACATTGTCTACAGCCAATCAGAGGACCAGCTTGGTCATGCACAACCAATTCATCCTTCCTCTCCCTTTTCAAGAACAGTCTCTATTGTGTCTTCCTAATCTAACGGTTAATAGTAATTGACCTAGTCTGTTCATTGTTGTCAGTTGACAAGAGTCTTCCGAATTAGTCCAAGAAATTTTAAATTGGTTTAATTTTATTGTTTAAAAACTCCAATTTTATTTATATAGATATACTAGCTGTACCCACGGGCTTTGCCCCGTTTAACTTCATAAGTATTCGCATGGCTCAATCACGTCCCGGTTGAAGTTCGTTCGCTACGCTCACTCACCTTCAGGTTGGAAATCGTTCGCTGCACTAACTTGTTTTCAGGTTAGCTCGTTCGCTACGCTTACTCACCTCCAGGTTGATGTTCGTTCGCTACGCTCACTCACCTTTTGGTTGCAAATTAGCTGTTCATAACATGCTGTCATACATTTAAAAAAGTCATCCCTTTTATTGTTTATAATACAGTACTTTTATAAAGGTTTTTATGTTTTAATATTTAACATTGGAGAATTTAAACGTTGTTAAGTGCACAGGTGTGCTGCGATTGGGGTTTAATACATTTGGACTTATTTAAAAGTAAAATAGTTCTCTGTGCTGCAATCTGTAGAAACACTGTGGCACTATTTCAAATCATGACTAATGCTAATACAGAATGTTGTAGTTATTCAAACGTACAAAACAGTTGGTGAAAGTAAACATCTGCTTTTAAATTATATTTATTTGTAAACATTCTAGATCAAAAAGTCTGACACTTAAAACCCTCTGGGGCAGAGCCCTTTTGACGGATCTGCACCAAACTTCACTCGAACCATCCTTGAAAGATGCTTAATAATGCCTGAAAGTTTCATTACAATCTGTCGAGCGGTTTCGGAGTCCATAACGTATATACACATATATATACATACATAGTTCCTCTTTTATAGATATAGATTAAGGCAAGGGAGATTCATTTATTTTATCAGACTATTTATTTATTTTTATGTATGTTGATATTTAAAGATTCACTATTAATCATCTTTTTATTTATAAAAATATATTTTACATATATGATATTTATTTTTATGCGAATTTTTTTCTTATTATGTGAGTATTCAGTTGAATTAATAATGTACCCATGGTATAAGTGTATTTGTGTGCGTGTGTGTGTGTGTGTATGTGTCAGTAAAGACACCCCTGAGATTCCCAGTGAGAACATCCACCACCCTTGCAGTCATCTCTTACATTAAGCTCAAGATGACTGTGGTCTTTTTCTATTCCAAGAAACCACACGAGGAAAATTCTGTTGACAGATTATTACTATAATTTATTAAATAATAACATTTTTGATAAGCTTGGCCACTACTTATTATCATTGTATTCAATTTATTTGTATTAATAATAATACGTTAACATATTATCACTCGAGTAATCAATTTAACTCTTAATATAATAATTATATAATATTATTATGTGTATGCAGGTCTATTATGTCAGTATAAGTTTCAAGTATTTTAATTTACTTTCTCTACAATTTAGTATATCACATTAATGAGACTTACTAATATTCGTAATAGGTACCATTGATAATTGAAATGGTTTGAATTTAAGTTTAACTTCTAATATATGGTAGCGTAGTAATAGTCTGTTCAAACATAGTTATTGTACATAAGGGACGGGGACAGATAGAGTTAATTACAAGGGGCTCTCAGTTTGACATTTAACAATCATGACAACTCTTCAAAGCTAAATCTCGGCCACTAATGAATCTCCTTCTATGTGCTCGTGACAAACTCATGTTGCAAATAAAATAAGATCATTTACAACATTTTAATTACATTTATCAATTGAATTTAGTTTTGTTGTTTTAATCTCACACTACACTAACATTTAGTTTTCTATGGTCCATTAATTATATACTGCCAAAGAAAATTATAACTATAATCAAGATGGATGGAAAACCATTTCACTGGTTTTCCGTTCGTTTTCATTTATTTCCATTGCTTTCAATTAGTTTTCTATCCGTCCAATACGTAAACAATTATTTTTTAACTGTTTTGTTGCAGTTTAAAACACCTTTCTTATTCGTATACAATATAAATTGAAAGATAATGTAGGCATTCCTAATGACTTCTATTAAGTAAAAAATATTTAATTTAATTATCTATATATATAAAAATCCAATGTATGTTTGCTTATTTGTTTGTTTGTTTGTTTGTTTGTTTGTTTGTTTGTCCTTTATGGACTCCGAAACCGCTCAACAGATTGTAATGAAACATTCTGTGATGTTAAATAGCGTTAAAAAGTGAATAGGTTTACGAAACAAGGTGCAGCACTGTTATTTCTTTAAAATTTTTGACAACAGCTAATTTGCAACCGAAAGGTGAGTGAGCGTAGCGAACGAACATCAACCTACAGGTGAGTGAGCGTATCAAACGATCTTCAACCAGGACGTGATTGAGCCATGCGAACGAACTCATCTTGAAAATGAACGAGTATTTGACCTAAAACCACTTTAGGACAGGACGACGTCTGTCGGGCCAGCTAGTCTTATATAAAGAAAGGTAAATAATCAGCGGATTCTTACTCTCTCTGCTAATGTTTCTTTGCACATTTGTTTAAAAAAACTAAAGGTGGTTAAAAAATGAATTTTAAAATATATAACCATCTAGATTTAAAAATAAATATGTAAAAGTGTATTTTTTAATCCTGTCAGAATTAAGTTTAAATTCACCAATACAATCCACTGAAGTGGATTTACGATTATGAAAAAAGAGTTATTATATATTGAGTAAAAATCTACTTTAAAACAGCTGTGAGCTATTACATTAACAGTTTTTACTGATAAGTATATATACTTCTAAGATTATAACAACCACTGTAAAACACGAAAATGCATACAATCTTCTAAATGCATTTAAAAATATAAAAAATCTCACTACTGTTTAATCTTGTTACCTAGTTAAGGCGATTGCAGAAGTATTATCCGCTAAATACGCAGAAACATCTGTTGATATACTAACAACAAAAAGGACACTCAGTAAAGCATTTTGTTTTTACAAGGTTGTAAGCTATTAGTGTTATTGTTATAAAGACCACTTCACAAACTCTCTTATCAACACATTGATAACAACCATATGCCACTGTAGGCCTAAAAACAACTGTTGTTTACAGTAAATAATGTCTTAGAGTACAAATATTGTAAACAATTAGAGGATGTTACTTTTGAATCCATGCTAGCATGGTCCACATACAAATTACTTGTCTTGTACTTAAGTTACCTTTTAAAAAAATCATTGATTAAATTATTGCAATGTACGAACTAGGAATCTAAATTTACTAGTTTAGCACTTACATATAATACACCAAACCAAATATCATACTAATGTAAATTTTATAATTTCGTTCAGGATAAAAACGTATAGACCATTTTAAAAACTCAACTTATTTTGTCGGATCAGTTTGGACCACCAATTAATTCAAATAACAGTTATATAGAAAGAACAATGTTCAGGGACCCTAAATTGAACAAATACAATGGCTTCGGAACTAGTATTGGCCTCAAAGCAAGCAGTAAAAGCTAGTTCCATGTAATGGAGCTCGTAATAAAATAAAAGGGAATCTAATTACCACATCGAGAAATACAAGGGATTATGGGCAAAACAAATAGCTTTAAATACAACCATGATACCTGAAACTCCCAGTTTACTGCATGTGAAAACATTTAACACTTCAACAAAAATCAAAGGAAACATCAACACAAACATTTTAAAACAATAACAGTTATGAATGATGAATTGATGACGATTTATCCATCTTTACTTTTGACAAGTAATCAACATAGTATTGGTATGAATTATTGGTTAGTATATATATTGTCATCACAAGTGTATAGCTCTATACTTTTATCGCTACTGCACTTAGAGGTCAATTGGCTGTTGCCACTGTAGATAAAATAATTAATGTTATCAACCTCTCCCTGTGACCTTGCACCTTATCACCCCTTTAAAATCCCTCCCCTCACGCATGCGTCCCTTAGAGTGGCGAGGGGAAGTTCAGTGACGGGCCGGACGTACGACAATAAACACAGCGGTACCAAACTAGCGGGATGAAATAATATGTGCGCATGGTAAGTGAAAAGCAAATATTGAATATGTTTTGTGTAAAACACAAAACACATATAATAATTATGTATTTATTGGTGGGTAAAAGTTTTAAACGACTTTTCATAAACAGAAAACAAAGTTTCAATGACTAATTTTTTAATTATTTTTGTTGTCAATATAAAATTTTATTATATATATTAGCATTGACTATTAGGTACAGAAGATATTAGGCTGTTACGCTTACCATAAAATGATGTCCAATATAAAAATACAAAATCTGAAGTCTGAAAAAATTAGTTTAACTTGTTAATTTGATACACACAGTATAATTGTTAAATAAAATTGATGACTGTAAAGATAAGGGTTAAGATAATGCAACGTAGTTTAATAATAAATGTTCAAAAAATGCTATTTTAGGCATAGATTTTAAACGGTTGTATTGTTAGATCCAAGAGTAGTTGAAAATATATCTTAAGAGTTTAAAATATTAAACTTAAAGTAGAAATTTGCGTAAAAATAAAACTTAACATTAAGCAAGTTTATTGCTGAAATATAACGATGATAAGGATTAACAATATCCATGCATTTAAAATCTTTGAATGTATAGCTTATGTAGTATCTCAAAGTAAGGGATTCAGACAAGATCACTATGTCTTGGTTAAAAAGCACTAGTTTTGATGAATTGTTAATGAGAAATCTCGTTGCCCAGGCTTGGCTATGTAATAACAGGCCACACCTGATTAAAGATTACTGTCATCTCCCGACTGTATACCTAGGTCAAAGAAACGTCATATAATTTATGTTTGTCCAATTGAGTCATCACTTCAACAAAACAATGATTTAAGTGTTACACTACATTCACTTTAATATTTTACGCTAATCTGCTGATTTTTCAATAACTTTTTAGTAGAATTAAAAAATTACAGAGAAAATGTCTGTTAATTTTGAAAGATCCTCTTAAATTAAATATAATTATTTTCCTAGAACACGCGAATTGTTGAGTTAACAATGACTTGTTATACTCTAAGGCACGGTAATCTGCACGTTAGATAAGATACGTACGGGATCTAAACGATATTATTCTATAATTAATCTTATATTAATTAATTAATTTGGAAACGAAAATATTATTTTTTTAATTTTATTTGGTCAGTATCTTACTAGGCTACATTCCTGGGTGTTTTAAAATATATGTTTTCATTATACCTAACTGGTTACCGAACTTTTATCAGTAACATGAAATTAAAGAAAGATAAATACGAAATTAGGATTTAAGAAAGTAAACTTTTAAACAATAAATTACCAAAATGAAGGTCACCTTCGACAGATCATAACAGAAGGTCATTACAATCAACATATTTTTTTAAATAACTCTCTAAAAACAATTAATGTTGGTATAATTCTTGTTTTGGGCCAAGATGAAGCCAAGAACTTCTATGTACCAAAAATTGACATAATAAGAGGAAACATTTAAAATTTGATAGAACAAATATTTATAGGATCAAGTTAATGCGTTAACTCATATTTGTATTTATATTTATAATTTGGGTCTTCATTTAGTCGACATTCACATCAAAAGCTTATAAATGTGAAATTTGTGTAGAATATTAATATTTTTTGAATTTGCATAAATCAATATTCAATTTAAAATAAAATTGTCATAAAACAACATACATTGGAAAATATATTAGTAAATAAAATGCATTTTAGACTTCTAGTAAAATGTTTCATTTAAAATTATAGATTTACCTGAGTGATTTTGGCTTCTGGGATTTCAACCGAAAAGGTAATGGTGCACCGGGTGTGTAAACGTTTGGCAAAACTATGCAGCGAATTGAGCCAGAGACTTTTTTATGGTAAGTGATGAAAAAATATTAACTGTTTTCGAGATCAAGAACAACTTCTTTTAAACTAAATAGATGATTTGAACAATATAACGGGTAATGCAAAACGTTGGCTAATATTGCAATAAGCTGGGGTTTTCAGTATTCAACATGTATGATTCATTTACATTGATAAGAATAATAATCTGTGTCTTAATTAAAGGCATTTTCAATTCTAGAATAAGTAATAACTCTTATTTGGCTCGCCCCCTTTTTTGGTTGGGGGATTGTTGGAAATATCATCGGAGAAAATCCGTTTCTGAGTAAAATAATACAGTAATAAGAAGATGGTAAAATTCTATCTAGTCTAATGCAACTGAATTGTTTTTTATGAAGAAATATTAGGGGGGGGGGGGTTGAATTGGCGAGGGGGGATGTAATTTTTACACACTTTTCTAAATTATTCCTTGGTTTTAAAACAAAGACTAGTAACTGTGAAAGATTTCTAGTCCATTGCCACGATGAAAAACAGTGTTTGAAGAACTGTTGGGGGGGGGTTCATCTATTTGTTGAAGGGGGGGGGGGGGGGGGGGTTCGTATGAAAAAATTCTAAATTATTTGAATATAGGGGTTTATTAAGTAGGGGGTGTTGAGTTATAAAAGTTTTAAAAAACGTGTTATGTCGTTTTCAGATTTCCGTGATGTTTTTTTTTGCGTGTGAGGGGGGGGGGTTGGGGTTAGGAATAAAAAATTTGACTTTTGTAAAAGCTCTATCTAACGTGTTGTGCTAGCAAGTTAAGGTGTTACAAATTTACTATCACATCTTGAACTCTGACGGAATTCACAGTAGTATTGAAATTGCGTAACCATTTTCTGATCATAATTTTAAATATTTACTCTATAAGTCAATTATTATAACATTTTATTTCAAGAGAATGTTTTTTAGTAAGTGCCTCTATAAGTCTTATTTTTACCAAAATGAATTTGTGCAATGATATCTTAAAGTCTTGCGTTAAACTTAAATATTTCCTCTTAACACTTTTAAGACTTAACAATATTGTTAAGTATTCTGGCAACATTGTAAATATTTCTATTGAAGTAGCATTTGTCACACTAAAACTAATTTATCAGTTATAAATTGGTAACTTGTGTCCTTACATTATAAATACGGATTGAAATATCAAACTGTGAACACTTTGGAAGTTACACAACAACGCTAATATACACCATAAGTTGTGGGACCACTTTATCGAGTACAATAAGGTCCCAAAATTAAGACGAAGTATGTTAAAGATCTAGCTTCACAAGATGTCATACGATTATGTTAAGATTTATAAATTTATTTTTTACTGATAACATGTCTATAAAACATGTACATAAAGTATAACTATTAAACATTATTAAAATAGTTTTTCTAATTCAACAAGTGTTAATAATGGTAACCTGTGGATCGAAATACATTTAAATGCAAATACAGACTAATTTCATTTGAATTTGACAACACATCGTCGTGTATTTATTGACATCGTTGCAGATTTCAAAAGCGCATTTGGATTATTGCAATGAAACAACAAAAGAACAACGAAGCGGACATTTTATGGTTTGTGGTCACAAAAACTAATATGAATCTTTCAAAAGAATTATCGTTCCACCATATTTAAAAACTGCTTTAGATAGTTAAACTTGATAAAAATATTAGTGAGGCAAATAGAACGCATATTAATTAATTCAAATAGCAATTATAATATGTTACTTCGAAGTTCAAACAAAAAAAGTTTTTACGATATAAAGTTAATTCAAATGTTTGAACTATATATGCCAGAAATTGTAAAGTAACAATTCTGTTGGAGTGTTTAATGATCAGTATCGAGCTTACAAAGACAGTTTTTTTAATTATTTTTAAATTGTACAATAAATTGATGATACTATTATCATGAAACTTCATGAGCTCATTGTCGTGCTGTATGCAAACTTAGCAATCTCATCACGCAGTAAAAGCCTAACATATTTTCGCCAAGTTATTTCGACAAGTAGTGAGCTTTTTTGAAGAAAGACATGTAAATTTTAACATTGCCACACAATTTCAAAATAAGTTCAAATTTAAAATTTTTATCATTAGAATTAATGGTGTACAATTAATTATAATGACGAAATAATATCGCAGCATGTGTTTATAAACAAGTAAATATACGCCGTCAGTATATTATGTACATTTAGGTCTATTATTACACTGGTTTATTTATTTAAGTAGATATCCCGTCTATACATGTATGGACTAACTGTCGTAATCGTTTTATTAAAAAAGAACATAGTTCTGTGATTTGTAAAATTCTATTTCCTACGTTACTTTGTTGCTGATATAGTTAATGGATCATAAAGCTCAAAATAAGTCGTTCCATCAGTTTAAAGTAATGAAAAAATTTGTGTATTGGACAAAAATCTGCAAATTACACCAGCAATATGTCGATGGCTTTCAACAAAACTGGCTACAGCTTTAACATGGAGATAATATATATATTTTAATCTAATAAGTAATCAATTGTCTAATAAACGTTTACCGTATCTAAAATTATTATTAAAGGCTATTATTGACTTTGAATGGTGCGAGGAGACTTTTTTTCCTACTGTAAAATCTTGCCCCAGTTTTGATGTATATTTCATGGGGGGAACGGTTGGGTACGTATATGTCAACTAAATTCACTAAAGGTTTTTGTTAAACCTTTAGCATGATTAATAGCATGATTAATAGCATGATCTTATCGAAATTGGAGTTAAAAGAAACAACTTAAATTAGCAATTTTCAACAAATAAATAAACGGGATCAGCGGTCTGACACATACTTTCTCCCATAAGCTTGTCAACAACCTTTGAGATATTTGCTCTACGTGTTTAACATTACCAGAAGACATGCTAACTATTGTTAGCTGGTCCATAAGGATTATAAATATAGTATATCCACATTCTACAGTATAAAAAGGAAGTATGTTTCGGGATCAGTTAACGACTTAAAATATTATCACTTAAACATGTCGGGAGAGTATGGTGTTTTGTTGTAATCTATTCTTATAATAAATACTTGTACTTAGAAACGAGATTACGTTTTATATCATTGTTCACTCCGCTCAATTGGCAGACCTTATACGGCATTCCTAGTAATTTTTACATTTAACATTTTTAATTTCCATGTTATTCTTATGGAG